AATCCAAAAGTAAATAAATGTGTACAAATAATTTATTTTTTATGAATTAGAAGTTCTTTTTTATTGACTGTGTATTTCAAACAGAACATCTCAATCTTAATCATCTTTATACCCCCATCCCCACTGCACCCTCTCACACTCTCCCACTGAAATTCATACACTGTCATTTCTTCTAAGGCCTACTGTGTCAAGTTAGTGTCCCCAGACATCCTTCAGTGCAAATTCATCTACTGAGGTCTAGTCAGCCTATCTAGAGTCTTGCTTTAGGAATATCAGCTCCTCCTCACCCAGCAGTAATCAGTTGCAAATATTTCTTGAGCTGAAATTGGGGTCAGCTGTCCATTTCCCCAGTTCTATGCTGAGTTTTTGTCTCTTTGAGTTTGCATGGGTCCTGGGCATGCTGACCCCATTGCTGTAGGTTCATATGAATGTGGTCCCAGAAGCTTGGAGGACTCTGTTTCCATATGGTCCTGCACCTCCTCCCTGGCTCTTACAGTCTTTCTGCCCCCTCTTCCACAATTGTCCCTGGGCCCTGAGTGAAGTTTAATATAGGAATCCTGTGCAAGGACCAGCATTCTGCAGACTCTTAGTCTCTACACTTTGGCCATTTGTGATCTTTTTTGTTCCCGGCCCTCTGTTGCATAAGGGGGCCTCATTAATGAGAATTGGGATATTCATTAGTGTCCTCTTTACCCCTTGTTCTATGTTTTGTGAGCCTTAGGTGTAGAGGTTGCAATGTAGATGTGCCACTTAGACTTGGGCAATTCACAGACAATGTCTGTGTGTGACCAGTTGTGGTACACTGTAATATAATAATCTCTGTCTTGTACAAAAGAAACTTCTTTGATGAGTGGTGATTGGGATGCTGTTTTGGGCTATTTGTTATTGTTGTTGTTTTTGTTTGTTTGTTTGAGGGAACTTTTTTGCTGTCTAAGCACATAAAACACTATATTTCCAAAATGTCTTCAAGCAATGGCAATTTAAAGTAATTGTATTTCAGTAATTATAAGTATTTATTAACATAGATCACTGTTTCTAATATTTGAGTTTCTAATATAGATAAGTTAAAATTAAGTAAGATTCCATAGTCATTAAATATTTTGTTTATTATTTTTATTTTATGTGTTTGAGTGTATTGCCTGCATGCATGGGAATGCACATGTGTCATGCAAAATCTCCAGAGGTCAAAAGAGGGCATTGGATCTTCTGGAACTGGAGTTATGGATGGTTGTTAAGCTGCCATGTGGGTGCTGGGATTTGAACCTGGGTCCTCTGCAAGAGCAGTCAGTGCTCTTAACCACTAAGCCATCTCTCCAGCCCTCCATATTGAGTGTATTGCCTGCATGCATGGGAATGCACATGTGTCATGCAAAATCTCCAGAGGTCAAAAGAGGGCATTGGATCTTCTGGAACTGGAGTTATGGATGGTTGTTAAGCTGCCATGTGGGTGCTGGGATTTGAACCTGGGTCCTCTGCAAGAGCAGTCAGTGCTCTTAACCACTGAGCCATCTCTCCAGCCCTCCATGGTCATGTTTAAGGCTTTCAATGCATCCTGTACAATTGCTCTCTAGGGTATTAATTCCAATTTCTACTTCTACTTTCTACAAGTGACAGTGATTAATATATTCTCAATAAAAAGAGGCCATACACATACATAAGAAGAAATGTGCTGGTGGACAAGAGCGTGGGCAGAAAATTTACCTAAAATTTTTAAATATCTTTTTATAAAAGTGAATGAAGTTCATTCAGATAAAATGCAATTTGAGCTATAAGAAATTATCTTTTCTTGAAAGTCTTCACAGATAAGATGCTAGCATCAGAGGATGCCAAACCCAAGAATCCATGGGTTAGAAAGAACTGAGGAAAACATCTAGACAATTTATTCAATTAAATGACAGCAGAAAATTTCCAAAACCTAAGGAAGAACGGACATCCAAACACAAAGAGGGTCAAGAAGACAGGACAAGAGCCTGTCTATAACACATCACAGTCAAGGCATCAAAAATAGGAAGCAAGAACAATGTTAAAAGATGTAAGGAAAATGTCAACTCACCTACAAAGAAAACATATCAGAATAACCCCAAAGCTCTCCTCAGCAACCCTAGATGCCCGGAAAGCTTTCAATGATACAGTTCAAGCCCCAAAAGTAAATATGTGCCAACAAGGACTGCAATATCTAGAAAAGCTATCTTTTAAAACTTATGAAGAAAGAAGAACATTTCAAGGCAAGCACAAATGAAGGCAACTGATGATCACTGAGCAGCACTGCAGACACTAACTAAAGGCATCTCACGGGCAGAGAAGGAAGGAAGACAGTCTCAATTATGAAGCACACAGGGAAGAGAGAGTTCATGAAGAATCTTTGCCAACCATATAAGTAAACAGGGAGTTAATGTCTGGAATATATACAGAAACTCCAACCTTAGCTGAGGAACTACTGGAAGCTGATAACTACTGGGAGAGGGAGAGTTGTTTTTTTAAAAGAGTATGACACTAGATTAGGACACTAGGTTAACCAGGCTCCAGTGGAAGGATCCACACTGAAGGACTTTTGGGGACACCAACTTGGCTCAATATGCCTTAACACACACGACAGAAGTAGAAGTAGGGGTCTGCTTATTGATCAAAATATATTGTATAAAATATGCAAAAATTCAATAAAAAGAGAAAAATGGACTAAGAAAATCAAACTCAGAAAGGCAAACACTACGTGTTCCCCCTCGTATGACAAGCTTATATTTAAATTTGCATATATGCTTTGTGTGTGTACATGCGCAGGCAGGTCATTAAACTATAAGGGGACCATCAAAACAGAGTAGAGGAGATCATAAGGGAAGGAGTTGATGGGGAAAGAGAGGATAATTTGTTTGACTGGGCTTTTCATGTTTAACATTTCTGTTTGATTACTTTTTAGAATCTCAGTTTCCTTCCTGAATTTTTCCTTACATTTTTGACTTTCCCTCCAAACTACCAACCGCTTGGTCCAGTTTGCTAACTTCCTTATCTAGGTCCTGAGTGTCCCTATCTCACTCATCTGCTTTTTTGAAAAGTAGGACTCTGGACTGTTTGTCCGGACTTTGGCTCTCTATCTCCCATTTCTGGTCTAGGGCAGTTGTGGGTTTTGGCGTGCCTTAGCGTGCTTTTTTGAAAAGTAGGACTCTGGACTGTTTGTCCGGACTTTGGCTCTCTCTTTATCTCCCATTTCTGGTCTAGGGCAGTTGTGGGTTTTGGCGTGCCGTAGCATCCTGTGTGCTCATATCTGCTGTGTTTCTCTGTTGTGTTTTGTACATCTGTTGGTGTAAATGTGCCTCCAGGTTTGTTTTCTTCCTTTTCCCGCTCTTGTTTCTTTGTTTTATTTTTTGGTTCTTCCCATGAGTTGTCTTCACTCGGTGTTTGCTCCTCATGACTATTTGAGGGAAAACTGACTTCAGTAACAGATACAGTGACTTGACAGCAGCCCGGTGTTGCCTTGCAGAAGACAGTTGTGAACTTCCCTTGTGTCCCAACAAAGTCTGGAGACACAGGCACTATAGTACTGGTTGGGGAAAAAGTAGTTTTAAATGTTATAGAATAGGCTCAAAAAAAGGACAGCTAGAAAGGCCTCTTCAGGTGAGATACAAACTAAATCAAAGCAACTGAACAACTGAAGTACAAAAATTTCGATAAAAATTAAAGATAAATGGAACTTACCATGACATCTGTCAGTGTATCTTCCTGCTTGGGGGGACTGTGCTCTCTCCCACCTGCTCCCTGTCTTTATAGCAGGATCAGTAGATGGAAAGACTACTTGGCTCAGTAATTCACAGAACTCGGCTATGCACTCTGCCTAGAGGAGTGTCCCTCAGAGATTCTGCTCTGCAGGAATTCCCCTTCTGAGTCCACACCCCTTACTTACCAGCCTCAGCTTTATCCCTGCTTGCTAGGCATCATAACTTGCTATGGGACTTTCTGTGGCCAAGCCTTGGAGGTGGCCTGGAAGACAGGCTGTTGTTTGTGCTTATCTTTGTGTTTACCTTACCTTGTATTCTCTTCCCCATCAGAATCGCAGATGTTTTAGCATCAGTGTCCCATGGTTCTTGCATGAGAAGGCTTGTATTTGTTGGCCAGATTGTGTAAAGCTCAGTGCCCTTCTTGGGTTCCCACGTTGCTCCTTGTCTAGGTCGTGGCAGAGGTGATACCCGCCATGTCATCCTCAGCTTATGGAGAATCTCAACTCGGGCTTTCCTGAAGCACTTGTGCGCGGTCTCCACAGCCAGCACTGCTCCAGCCTCTTCTCTGCCCTTAGTGCATCCTCTGGCTGCATGTCGGCAGGCCACTCAGATTCCCTCCTGCTTACCATTCTCAAGGTGCCCATGGCAACCAGGCACAGGTTAGCCTCCACTCCTGGCTCCTCTGTGCTGAGGGGTTTTATAGCTCTCCCCTCAGCCTATTTCTTTGCTTTAGTGACCTGTCTTTATTTCCTCACATGTTTCTGCTGTTGGGTGTTTCTGATACTCTTTGGCTCTTTCCTTCACAGGACAGAATCCAGTTATGACTTCTCTGTCATGTTATATAGAGTTGTTTCTAGTCTACCTCTCACCCAGAAATACCATGCTCTTTCTGGTAGCCAAGGCCAGGGCTGGAGAGATGGCTCAGCGGTTAAGAGCACTGACTGCTCTTGCAAAGGACCCAGGTTTGGGTACCAGCACACACATGGGCAGCTAACAACCGTCCATAACTCCAGTTCCAGGGGAACACCACACATTCTTCTGACCTCTCTGGGCATTGTGCAACACAGGTGCACTTACATACATAGACTTACATGCACTCATACACATAAAATAAAAATAATAAAATATTTTTTAAAAAGAAAGCCAGGGCCGAAAGGTTGAATACATTGTCCAGAGTTGCACTCTAAAGTGCTTTGCTTCAGTTGGTTTCATGGAGTATGTACAGGCTTACATTTAGGGTATGTACATTTTTCTTCACTTCTAATTGTATGCGGTATTCTCTTTCAACAGATGAACCCACAGACATTATTCCACGAAGCTGTCAGTTAGCAACAGATGTTCCTCATGTCACACAGTTGCTAAACATGACTAAACTCCGCCAAACTGAAATAAAATTTGGAGGTCATCCTCTAAGATCAGCAGAATCAGGTATGCGCTGGACACCCAAATTATAAGCATAATGTCTACCCTGCCCCCCCCAAAATGGTGTGACTTCCAAAGAAGCAACTGTTCCCCATTCTTTCTCAGTACTTTGTATGTACAAGGCAGGAGCTGCAAACTCAGAACACTGAGCCCATGCAGGCAGCACAAATTATTAAATCGAGTGGGGTGTGTGGGTACTTGACACAAACAAAACAGTTTCTACTTTAATGTGAACTTTACTGGACTGTGGAGGGGGCAGAGATAAGGAGAGACAGGAAACTGCTTTTCTGTAAAGGGGCTCGCTCTCCTCCTACTGAAGTGGGACGTTTATGCAAGGATACAGGAAATGGCTCTGAAAGGGAGCTGTGGAGAGTGGTAGGGACTGCAGCCAACTGGAACATCACTGTCAGTGTAAAAGGACTAACTGGAATTCCGTTTTGGCTAGTGTTGGCTGACTAGTTAGTTCCCAGTTTTTAAATAGTCTCTGAAATTTTTTGAAAGCATCCTTTGAGTCAAAAAAATTATTCCTAGGCTTGGAGTGTTCTACCACAAAGCAGCATATCTGTTGACCAAATTTGTGAAAAACACATACAAATCAAGAAACCTAATATTATCTTAACTCCTGTATGTTTGAGTCCCCTGGGACATTTGTAAATGTGCTTAACATCACAAAACACTTTTTTTTTTTCTGTTGTCTGGACTCTACCCCCAAAGACTGTTAGTCAGTTTGTCCTGGTTTGGTTTGGTTTTTAAGTCCCCTGGTGATTCTTCTGTACAGCCAGCATTGAGAACACTGCGTCACTCACCCCTCGAAGATTGTGTGGTTCAGGTAACACTCACCAACACGAAGGCAATGCAGGGGAGCTAAAGAATACACGTAAGAACAGCTCGTCTGTGGAGGGCGAGGTTCAGCCTGGAAGTATTCAGTGCATGTTTATGTGAATAAGTGTTTATAATAAAAGAGATTTGTGGAAGTACAAGTTAGAGCAGAGAACTGGGAAAAGACAAGGAAACAGCGAATGCCTGCATCAGTTTTCCTGGATTAGGAGAAGGAATGGATTGAGGGACCAAAAAGCTGTGTTAGAACACCACCATCAGAGTGCCTCGGGTTCCTCGGGAAAGGGATAAGGCTTTAGGAATTAAAATTTGACAGCAGGATTCAAGGTGAATTTTGAAACCAAGTGAGATGAGAGATGGAGGGGTGTAACAAAGACATCTTAGCAGCTGTCAGACTGGGTCTAGACTGCTCTGGGCCCTGCAGTGGAAAGCAGTGGCCCAGAGAAGTGCAGGAGTGAGGGGCAAGGTTTGTAGATTCTCAGACAACAGATGGCACCAAGAGAGTGATCAGGGCTTGGAGGTCACAGAAACCAGTAGGTATTGGTAGAGAAAGCTGAAAACATGAACCCTTCTTTATCATCTGTATCCCTCGTGCATTTATCCTTAGAGTATTCTCTATGTGTCAATCTTCATCAGCATTGTATGTCATAAATCATATGTTCCTAGAAGATCGGAACTATTTTGTGATTTTTTTTTTCAGTGTAAACCATGGGAGAAGACTGTATGTAAATAGGCACTTTTTTTTTTTTTTTTGGTCTTTTTGAGACAGGGTCTCCCTGTAGCCCCATCTGGCCTTGAACTCACAATGTAGACCAGGCTGACCTTGAACTCACAGAGATCCACCTTCCTCTGCCTCCCAAGAACTGGAATTAAAGGCGTATGTCACCATGCCCAGCATAAATAGGCACTTTTAACCCTTGATTATGCCATTGGCACACTCACAGAAGAGCAGAGAGAATGTGTGATCAAAGTCCACATGACCCCATCACCTGCCTAGCAGTTACCAGCTTTAGGTGGCCTTTTTGCTAGCAATGAGAAAGATGGTCAAGTTTGGGTACTTGTTATATATGCTATATATAGACAAGAGAGAGAGAGAGAGTGAAGATTTCATGCAATCCATTGTCATTAAGGAACCTTGGGAAAACATAAAAAGGATAAAAGTGAACTTTGAACTCACAACCCAAGTGTCCATACTTGAGGTCACAGTTTAACCTTAAGGAAGATTTGCCACAGAATGCAGTAAGAGTATATTTAGTAACAGATACTCTGTCCGTACCTATGGTACTCCATCTGTACCATTAAGCTCTGAAATGTATCAGGTCATTTTATGATTACAAATGGTCTTTTTCCCTTCTGTCCTTCCAGCTCAATATTTTGGGCCATGTTGAAGGCCAACTTACAGTGCAGGATATTAGTATATATTTTGCAAATTCTATAACTGGGATTTCAATGCAAAATAACAGTCAACTTGATTCATGTATATAGGAAATTACTAATTGCCCCAAATCTATGAGCATGCTTCCTTTGCCCTGAGTCCCAGTTAGTCCGTTTGTCCTACATGGCTGCTCCCCTTAGCTCTGTCTCACTGCACATGTGTGACAGCTCAGAGGACATGAGCAAACGACGCACTGTGCGCTTCTTTCAGCAGATACTTTGCAGTTGCTGCTTTTGGTATATGTGGACTTTGTAGCTTACTAAAAATGAATATAAGAATTTTTGATCCCTGTGTAAGATATTTTATTTGAAAGGTGTATCTGATGAATATGCCCAGGGTCAGCTTCTCTAATCACAGATAAGCCAGGAGAGAGTTTTTTATTTGACCTATTTGTTTTGGTGTCTTTATAAAAAGTGGACTCCCACAATGAGATTTGAATTGCATGAGAAAATGATTGTGTCCTTTTATAACTGGCTGTGTAGTGCTCATTCCAGTTTTGGTGTTTTATCATAAATGGACAAACTGAGAGATCCTGATGAGGCCGCTAGAGAAGTAGCCACTCCTGTGGATACTTTCTCACGTGTCCACAGAGCCACAAAGGTAAACCTTGAGATTTCTAGCTGTTTAGGACTATGTTTATTGAATACCATATAGCTTAATCAAGAGCATTTAAGGGAACTAATAAAATAACTGTTCTTCCAAAAAGCTGCACATTCCCACCGTTATCAGTTCCCAGTGCACTTTAGTTAATGATTTTAGGACTGTGGAGTATGATGACCTTACTTTCATTAATGAAACCCCAGGGTCCAGTTATTGAAATGGAGCATGCTGCTCCATTGACAAGATACAGTGAACACAAATCAAAAGTGATCATTTCTTAAAATCAGAAAGTAATTTTCCCAAGTGCCCTCCTTTCCGTAGCAGCAGTCTGATTGGGTTTTCATTCCCATCCTGAGCTCCTACCACAACTACAAATAGGTGAATGACGCATCTAGAAAATGAAAGAGAGAAAGAGACAGAGGCGGGGGGGGGAGACAGAGACAGAGAGAGACAGACAGCAACAGAGACAGAGACAGGGATAGACAGAGAGACAGGGAGAAACAGAGAGAGACAGAGACAGACAGAGAATATGAATGAATCAACAGGCTATCTTTAACACTAGTGAAATCTGTATTATAGCACTTGGGAGGCAGAGACAGGTGGATCTCTATGAGTTCAAGGCCACCCTGGTCTACATAGTGAGTTCCAGGACAGCTGGGGCTACAAGGAGACCCTGTCTCAAAAAGACCAAAAACAAAAACAAAAAAAAGGAATTTCTTCTTTAGATTCTGCATTATGAAAGCAAGATTCAGACTAAGGAACAGAATTTACTATGAAACAACAACTTTAAGGGAAGAGTTAGATGTGATGTCATAAGAGCTAAGACACCTTTGATACTCACAGATCAGTTGAATTAATATTGTAAAAATGGCTATATTACCAAACCAACGTCCAAATTCAATGCACTCCCCATGGAAATTCCAATGACAGTCTTCACATAAATAGGAAAAAAAAATTTCTAAAATTTATACGGAAACACAAAAGACCCCAGAGAGCCAAAGCAGTCTTGAGCAGAAAGAACAATGGTACAGGTGTCCCCATACCTGACCTGAGTTCTGGTTATACTGTAGAGCCATAGTGACAAAAACAGCATGGCACTGGTACAAAGTCAGATACACAGCTCAGTAGAATAGAATAGAGGACCAAAGAAAACTCACAGCCACAACCACCGAATTTTTTTGTAAGATGTCAAAAACATACAATGGAGGAAAAACAGTATCAGCAGCAGATGGGGCAGGGCTGCCTTGGATATCCATACATAAAGGAGTGATGATAAGGTCACCCTGTACAAATGCCAGTTCAAAATGGACCAAAGATCGTCTTAATGTGAGATTGGAAACACTCAAACTATTAGTGGAGAACCAAGGAAACCACTTGAAGATGTAGGCATAGGCAAAAACGTTCCGAAAGGACTCCAGTGGCTCAAGAAATAATGTCAAGAATGAACAAATGAGATGACATAAATTTGAAAAGAAAAAAGTGTCTTAAGCTTTTTTATCAATGAGATAAAGCCAAGTACTGATTTTAATTTCTTGCAGCCTTGGAAGCAAGAACATAGAAGCATCTCTCCCAGGCCTTTCCTGCCTGGGGCCTTTACCCGTCTGCTTTTCTTTTCATCACAGTTCCATGGATTGTAGACTGACATCCTCCAGTGGTCTAAAAACAGTTTCTAAGTGAATACTTTGCACTGGGCCTGGAGTCTCAGAGTAGCCAGTTGGCCCACATTCCACAGTACCTTCTTGTTGTGCATGCCTTGCCTGCCTGGCACTGATGCTCCTTCAGTTTGCCCTGCCCCCATCTCTCCCAGCCTTCCTCCCTTTGGAAAGGGCCATTAAACCAATATGTTATGTGCTTGATTCCTCAAAGCCCTCATTAGCCCCCATGGCATGCACTGTATTATCATATTCATTAAACTTGAGTGCCTATCTATATAATCATTAATCATCCATTTTTTGAAATAGAAAAAAAAAGGTTTTATTTGAATGGTTTTATAAAATTGCATAGAAAACAGGTATTGGCTATGGGGAGAATCTCCTGTGCTGCTCTCCTGGCCCACTGAGGGCAGCATCATGTGTAATTTTTAAAAGCACAATGAGGAGAGATGTGATTGTTGAGCCCCTGCTCTGAATGTGGT